AATAATATATATATATATATATATATATATATATATATATATATATATATATATATATACATACATACACCAGAGTTTAAAGTAGGCTAGTAATTTTGTATGGATTTTAGAAATTGTAATTTTTATAGAGCAATATGTAGCCTAGCTTGTGGAAAAAATATCTACATAACATGGTGCTCCACTTTTGCTAAAGTTAAACTGTTCTCAACTTTGTTGAGTTGCTGGACACACCCACATCCTGTCACCAGCGGTCACTGAGTTCAGGTCCTTTCATCAATGCAGGTCGCTGCCGGTGGGAACGGGCTTTATGCAGTAATAAATGACTGGAAAAGTCATGGAAATTTCTATAGTCGCTGCAGGTCCAAATTTTACTAGTTATGTTAAGCCTATCTGGTGGTCACAAACAACTGGAAAAACTATGGAAACTCATTGTCAAAATTTGTGGAAACCATGTTATATTTACTTGAATTAGATGGATAAAAAAGCACCATATAAACCACACTTTTATCATTATAGTCGTAAGGTTTTGATACAGTCAGATTAGATCAGTAAGCAGCAGCCTTAGACTTTTGAGGTCAACTGCTTTTGTAACCTCATTTAGAAGCAGTTGGAGAACTATAACATTGTGGCAATGTTTTTGAAACCAAGGGTTTTGGGTGCAGTAGGATGTCCAGTGTTGAAATTCAGTTGTCCATGGGACCATTGATCCCCTCAGTAAGAAAACAAGCTTATCACCTGTTAAACTGTTGACACTGTGATGTTTGCCATTCTTTTATTTGCATTAGCCATTTTTCTTCTTTTTTATGCATTGTGCATTAATGCGGTGGTCCCTGAAGAATACAATTTTTTTAGTCTATTTTCCTTTAAGGTTGAAAGTGACCTACAACAAGAGGTTTTACTAAGGTGGCCGGGTGGGAGTGTCTGGATGTGGTCATGTGCATATGTCTTTGAAACTTTCTCAGGGACTAGTTCTTTCTGAATTGGGAAATATTCCTATTTAAGTGTATTATGCACAATACTGCCTATTGCCTTGATAATATCATCTGTATAATCCCACGAGGGTGTCAACAGAGGCCGTGTCTTTTGCTCTAGAGGCCAGGATGAGCAGTTCCAACCCTTTGCCATGCAACTGAAATATGTGACCTAGATTTCTAATAAAATAAAGAATTTTCAAATTACTGATGACTAAATGGTGCCAAATGCCTCTGCTTTGAAACTAATTGGCAGCCGTTATCCTGTTGTGCTGTTGAATTTTCCAAGAAATCAAAGGGTGAAAGGCTAATGTCGCCTGGCAAAAATTTGACTTTTGCACACTGAACTTTGAGGCCCGTCCAGGCACCCTTTTGAATCTGCCCCGCTACGCTGTCTGAGCAGCATTTGTGTGGTGTATTTTGGGACACCAGTAAACACTAAGCAATAGGGTTGCCCAGCACCAGCAATTAATCTGCTCATTTCCAAGCCTTTCCAACGCAAGTTTCTAATAAATAAAAAATACTGCCAACTCTAAAGATAGTTAAAGTTCACCATTACTCACAATCATGTTTTTCTGGCACTGTATTATTTTCTTTGTTGTTCTGTGAAAAATAAAATGTTTGATTTTAGGCTGAATGTCAAAGCTTCTGTTTTTCATACAAAGACGACTGCAAATGATATTTGTATGGCTCTCGAATATTTTGAAAACAGCAGATAAACTGTACGTTTGCCAATTTTCAACCAATTTTGTATTGTTACAGTGTTGGTAGTATATGTAAATGAACAATGTGTACTCTTTCAATGTGTACTCTGTAGCACCGATTTAAAACAAAAACAAACAAAAAACACCTTTTACCGACAGCCAACATTTATTAAAACCCCACATGATGAATTCCCATTTAAGTCACATGGACTTATTAATTTATACTTTTATGTTGCTTTTTGGAGCCTAGCAATATAAATCACCATCTACTGTGATTGTGTGGAAAACAGAAGCTCAGATATTCTGCATTAGAGCTCCTTAATGTTTTCTGGAACAAATAAAGTAGTAGTTGGAGTTGGAAACATGTAAAGGTGAGTAAATGATGACAACATCCTTTAACTAAATGTTTAATCAAAACTCCAATTGGCAGATCACTTGGCAGTGAGGTGCATGGTTAGTCAGTGACTTACACATTTGTCTTTCTTTTCCCACTGTTTTCTGTGAGAATAATTCAAAATCAGCATCAAACCAGTTAGTTCTGTGAGTAGGATTATTGAAAGTCTTGTGGAAATCTTGTTAGCCAAAGGCCAGTGTCCATTCTTGTCCAGTACTTTTGTTTCTGCTTAGCAGAAAACATGTTATTGCTGATCTAATGAATGGCGAGTATGATGTCTATTAAGGCTCATTAATGCAGTGAACCCTGAATGAATGTTGTAATTATGAAAACTCACTACAAGGTGCTACATTCAGGACCTCTGATCCTCTTGTTTGTGTTCGCTGCATGCCTTTGTGTTTTACTGCATGGCCACTCATCGGTATTGCTTTAACAAAATGTTGTGATTTGGCACCCAGGCATTGCATCTCAAATGAAGGCTCATTCCGCACTGCGGCTGGTGGATTAGATTCAGAATCCTGTAGTTTCATCTCACTGAGCGTCTCTTAATTATCTGAAAACTCACTGTAGATTTGTGCATGGCCTTAACTGCGAGCATAGTGCACCACCTGTAGTTAGCGCTGTTCATAGGCAGCTGCCTCACATATGATCCAGCATGCATTAGGAGCTGATGAGAGGAACATCTTTATTAATGACACTTAACCAGTGCACAGATGCTGGCTTACATAATGTTCCCTTGGCTATAACTTTGGATCAGTTTCAAGAAGTCTAGAATAGGCTATGTTTTATCCATATCAAGGGTTTTGAGAAGAGCTATTTTGCAGTGTGCGTGAACACACAACTGAGGACCTCTGTCATCATTCTGACCTTTAGCATGGCACTTAAAGGATAAGTTCATGCAAAAAGGGAAATTTTGTCATCATTTATTCACCTTTATGTTGTTCCAACCAAAAATAACTGCTCTATTTTCAAATGACGGCAGTCCATAAAAGTATATACAACTTCTTTAAAAGTCTCGTGTTAGTTTATTGTGAAGAGCAGACTGAAATCTAAGCCATTATTCACTAATCTAAAGAGTCCACAAATCTTATGTCATTTTTTAAGTGAACACAAGCTGGAATATTTAGATGTCATACCAGATTTGATGGCAAACACCATTGGTTCTTGCATGTAATGCGTCCTAATACAGTATGTTGTAATATATTCAACTGCATTATGATATTTCAAAGCTATAGCAGAGGGGAAGATTATTAATATTAAATCAGATGACTTGGAATATAGTGCAAATTATATTTGTGAACTTTGGTTAGATCAGTCTTCCTCACACAAAAGTTATCATATGACTTCAGAAGACTTGCATGAGTTGTATAGACTACTTTTACCATATACTTGTATAATACTTTTGAGCATTTGGGGGATTGCCAATTTGTGGGGAATAAAAAATCAGACTCAAAATTCAGCCTAACATCATTTTTGTGCTTCATGCAAGAATGAAAAAGGTTTGGTACAACATGAGGGTGAGTAAATAATGAAAAAAAAAATTGCTTCAACATCATGTTTCTCAAAGCCAGTTTATTTTTTAAATTATTTATATACTATTATGGTATTTATTAATATTATGAATTGGCATATATTTTTAGTTTTCATTTTAATTTTAGTTTAAGTTTTAGTAATTTTATATGATTTTTTTCCTTCATTTAAATTATTATTAATATTATTTTTTTTTATATTTCTATTTAGCTTAAACTTTTTGAAACATTCATTTTCTTTTATGCATTTCATCTAATATTTATATTTTTTACGTCAGTTTTCACAAATCATTCTTATAGTTAACTGTATCAACACCGCTCAAAGTGAGCATCAGTCAATGTACAGTAAGTTGCTTCTGATAGTTGAGTCAAGTCACCTTTATTTATGTAGCGCTTCATACAAAACAGATTGTGTCAAAGCAGATTTACAGTGTTAAACTAGAAAATAGTGTGTCGATAATGTAGGAGGACAATAGTAAACAGTCAGTTTTTCAGTTAAAGTCAGTTCATTGTTGATTCAGTGATGTCATCATGCAACTCAATTTGGATGATGATAAAATTACAAAACCAGGAAACATAGTCTGATGTAGGGTTGGGCGACAGCTAAAAAATGTATCAACGATATAATGTTTCATATCATTCGGTATCGATAATTATTAACATTTTGCTGTATAACCATTTTTTTATAACCTTTTTTAAAACAAAGAGCAATAAAAAAAAAGTTTAAATTTAACCACTGTATTTTTAAATTAACCCAATTTATTGAGACAAAAAACTAATATGGAACTCAATGCACTGAATCTCCACAAATTAGTGTCGTTACTATGACAACCAATTTGAATGTGACAAGCAACTGGTGTTCGCCTAGGGCGTCAAATTGGCTAGAAACGGCCC